CACTACGTGCCCTACTCTTTTCGAAGAGTGTGTGGGTTCTTTAACGTCCCACAATTTTTATCACATATAAGGGCTTGTGAGACGGGACCTCCATTTATCGTCCCTATCTGAGAAGACTAGAAAGTCTAACCATTTGAAGATATTATTACAAAGGCAGCACTTTCTTCTCAGTTATTTAAAGACCCTGAGTGTTGGTCCGGTCGGAGTCGAACTCTCGACCTCCCGCACAACAGTCCAGCGCTATACCAATTGAGCTAACCGGGAGGTATGGGCATGTCCTTATGGTTGCAAATACCTCTCTAAGATCGATAAATTCTTTAAGCGAGCATGGAAATATGGTTACACCAAGGATCGCATATCCATCAGCAATGCAATCTCAACTAGGGATAAACAACTGTGGGAGAAAGTCACACATGTAAACTCGCATTGTTTGGCGGATCTCCTTCCGAGTAAACGTGCACGTCCTTTACGTCAGCGTGGTCATAATTATACGTTACCGTGTGTTCGCACAGAGCGTTTTAAGCGCTGTTTTATAAATAGGTCTCTTTTTAACTTTATTTAGTTTAATGTTTGTAGGGATGCATTGTAAACTTGCACGCATGTTTGCAAGTGTTTAGTTTGATCTCTAATATAATAGACTTTCATCATCATCATCATCATCATCATCATCATCATCATGAAGAGCTTGAGGGGGGGTGACCTTGCGATGGACTGGCATCCCATCCAGGGGGGGGGGATAGTGACGCTCTTAGTCGCATGATGCTAAGGACACTGGGATAAGCTCAGGTTGGGTGAGGGGGGGGGGTAGTTCATTTAACACCCATATTGATAATTATGAATACCTTCCTCCAGATTCCATACCAGGAGGTACAGTGCCAGAGTTGAGAGAAAACACTGATGCGTGGCATAAAAGTCCTCCTGACCACCAAAATCCCAAATCTTAAAATAAAATTCCGGGTTCATCGCAAAGAGACCACTTCGGTTGTAACGAAATTCGTCCATGGCAATCCCTAACAGAAAAAAAGGAAAATTCTCTCAGCAAAATGACTTGTTACGTACAACGAGCTAGAAAAGTTACCAACTCTTCCGTAACTCCTTTCTTATTTTGGAAGCTTGTCAGAAGGAGGCTTTCTAGAAAGAAAGGGCTTTTTAGAGAGTGGAACTTATTAGAGGCGGGGGCTTTTTAAAGAGGGAGGGGACTCATAGGACAAGAACGGGGCTCATTGGAAGAGATAAGCTTATCAGAGAGGGAAGCTTACTAAAAGAGGGGACTCGTAAGAGAAAGAGGCTCTCTTACAGCTTCTATATTAAAAAAAAAAAAAGGAAATAGAATTAATGGGACTGAGTGGAGTCCAATTCGGTCTGTAATCATATGTCCTGAGTGATTAACAAAATCGGACGACCACGAAGTGTATTATAATTAACGGCCTCCGGCCAAAAGTAATCGTTCCAGAATTTGGTTATGGTGTTGATTAAGAAAAAAAATCTCTACCATTTGTGGAGTTGTTGACATTGTAGGTCTAGTCCCTCATCAGTCGATGCTTCAATGTTGTCTTTCCCTGTCCAGCCCTACCAACTAACATCAGCTTCAAAGTGTAATACCCATCTGATCTGCGCAAGATGTTCCGAAGATACATGATGGTTTTGATACCATTTTTCTTGATCTCCTCTGGGGGATCTGTCAACTTAATGGGTTTGACGAAAAATATTCTTACAATATGCTTTTGATGGTAGTCCGTGCCAGGCTCTATGTCAGTGGAGAGGAAGTGCTTTACAAACACCTTAACACATCAGTACAGTCGAATCTCGACTATCCGGACTCGTCGGGACCTCGGAAAATAGTCTGGATAATCGAGTGTCCAGATAATCGAAAATATGAATATTGATGAGATAGAAATGTAAACAAAAGGTATACAATGCAGTAAATGGTTTGAACCCGGGGGTAACATGTGAAGGTGTAGTCTGATCGTCCGGGTGAGTGTAGTCCTGAGAAGGACTGTTGTCGGTGGTAGTGACTGACGTTTCGACAACCTGTGCGGAAGTCATCATCAGAGTCAAGTGAATGATTGTTGTCAGTAGAATGTTCTTATTCCAGTTCGTGTGAAATGATCGGTTGGTTTTGCCGTGATGTTATTGGCTGTAAGACTCAAGTGACGTAAGTCGGTCGTGATTGGTCTGTTTCGATCTGTCGGTAAAGTTAGGTCGTTCTTTTTCGGTCGTTTGTGATGTTTATGTCGTGAATGAGTCGTTTGTATGGAGCGGGTAGTTGTTGACATCTGTTTAGGGGAGTCTGTTCTAAGTTAGTAAACCAGCTTTCCAGAGTCAGTCGTTGAAAATAGTCAGTGCTGTAGGTTAGGCATTGCGCAGAGTCCCAGTCAATGTTGTGGTTGGTAAGTCGATGGTGTTCAGCAATGTGATTGCTGACATCACCTTTCCTCGTCGCCCGTCTGTGTTCAGTCAGTCTTGTTGTGAGGTTTCTGCCAGTCTCACCGATGTAGGAGGCTTGGCAGTCGGAACAATTGATCTTATAAATCGTTCCCTGTCTGTTCCTCGGTTCGTCTTTGTCTTTAACGTTGGTTAGTAACTGACGTAGTGTGGTGATGGGTTTGTGGGCGACGCGGATATTGAAGGGTAGTAAGATTTCGACTGATGTCGAAACGTCAGTCACTACCACCGACAACAGTCCTTCTCAGGACTACACTCACCCGGACGATCAGACTACACCTTCACATGTTACCCCCGGGTTCAAACCATTTACTGCATTGTATACCTTTTGTTTACATTTCTATCTCATCAATATTCATATTTTCGATTATCTGGACACTCGATTATCCAGACTATTTACCGAGGTCCCGACGAGTCCGGATAGTCGAGATTCGACTGTACTGATGTGTTAAGGTGTTTGTAAAGCACTTCCTCTCCACTGACATAGAGCCTGGCACGGACTACCATCAAAAGCATATTGTAACAATATTTTTCGTCAAACCCATTAAGTTGACAGATCCCCCAGAGGAGATCAAGAAAAATGGTATCAAAACCATCATGTATCTTCGGAACATCTTGCGCAGA